AAAAAAAAAAAAAAATTGTATAAAAATTAGCCAGGCATGGTGGTTTGCACCTGTGGCCCCAGCTACTTGGGAGGCCGAGGTGGGAGGATTGCTTGCGCCCAGGAGGCAGAAATTGCAGTGAGCCAAGATGGTGCCAGTGCACCTAGCCTGGATAACAGAGTGAGAAACTGTCTCAAAAAAAAAAAAAAAATTGGGGGAAGGCCAAGGTGGGAGGATTGCTTGAGGCCACGAGATCACGACCAGTCTGGGCAACATAGCAAGATGCCCATCTCTATTAAATAAAGAAAATTAGCTAGGCATGACAGCACGGGCCTGTAGTCCTAGCTACCTGGGAGGCTGAGGCAGGAGGATTGCTTAAGCCCAGGTGCTCAGGGTGCAGTAAGCTATGACTACACTGCTGTACTCCTGCCTAGGTGACAGAGTGAGACTTTATCTCACAGAAAAAAAAAAAAGTTAGCATCTACAAAAATATTAGATCCACAAATATAAATGATCAATATGAAACCATGTAATAAATACTCCATTTATTCACCCTAAGCATGCTCAAAGTCCCAAGCTAAAAAAAAGACACTATCCATCTGGAGAAAATGTCACTGTTATGACACAGAACAAAGAAAACTTGAGAAAATACAGACCCAAAATATCTATTTTTATTTTTATTTATGATTTTTTGAGACAGGGTCTCACTCTGTTGCTCAGGCTGGAGTGCAGTGGTGCAATCTTTGCTCACTGTAGCCTCAATCTCCTGGGCTCAGGTTACCTCCTACTTCAGCCTCCTGGGTAGCTGGGACTACAGGCACATGCCACCATATTTGGCTAAGTTTTTGTACTTTTAGTAGAGACAGGGTCTCACCATGTTGCCCAGGCTGCTCTCGAACTCCTGGGCTCAAGCGATCCGCCTACCTCGGCCTCTCAAAGTATTGGGATTACAGGCATGAACCACCACACTTGGCCTAAAATATCTATTTTTAGACAAAAAAAAAAGATTCAGAATTTAGGATTATATGCAGAATTGTATATAATCATATAAAATATAGGATTAATCTGTATTAAATTTCCATCATGCTCTAGAATCTTGTTACTCAGAATGTGATCTGAAACATCAGCATCAGCATCACCTGCAAGCTTATTAGAAATGTTGACCCTCAGTCCCCACTTAGACCTACTAAATTCAGACCCTGCATTTTAATAAATGTCTATGAGATTTGTATGCCTGTGAAAGTGGGAAATGCCCTGCACCAGGAAACCACCTTAGTTTCTGTATTATTCAGGTCTCCTAGAGCTGTTTGGCTTCTATTATATTTGACACAATGACTTTTATATATCAATACAATGAAATCATGGTGCATATACGATATAAATGTATATTTACCAACATAGGAAGATGATCATATAATTTAAAAACACAGCATATAAAACATTATTTATATGTCAACCTTTTTTTTTTTTAATTTGAGATGGAGTCTTGCTCTGTCGCCCAGGCTAGAGTGCAGTGGTTCAATCTTGGCTCACTGCAAGCTCTGCCTGCTGGGTTCACGCCATTCTCCTGCCTCAGCCTCCCAAGTAGCTGGGACTACAGGTGCCTGCCACTATGTCTGGATATTTTGTTTTTGTATTTTTAATGGAGATGGGGTTTCACTGTGTTAGCCAGGTTGGTCTTGATCTCCGGAGCTCATGATCCACCCGCCTCGGCCTCCCAAAGTGCTGGGATTAGAGGCGTGAACCACTGCGCCCGGCCCCTATATTGAACTTTTATGCTAGCACTGTATCACCCATTAAAGTTGAGCCAAACTGGGTATAAAAATGAAGCCTCATAACAATCCACTTTCTTAGAATGTAGAAGCTTGTTATTATATAAAGCTCCACGGCTGTGTTACCTTTCTCTTCTTCATCTGTCTTCTCTGCATTGGTATTGGTCTTGACAACAGCACCTTTATCAGACACAAAGTGGCCATCACTCAAAATCACATCCCATACCCAATAGCTGGGACAATTCAAATTCTATAGCACTAGAAGTTTTTGTAAAGGCCTAGAGAGCAAAAAATAAATGAGGAAACCGAGCCGCTGATAAAAACATTTTATTGTCCCTAAATAAACAAAGGTGTAAAACACTGTTGCTCATATATATATAGAGAGAGATATTTTATTTATTTATTTATTTATTTTGCCCAGGCTGGAGTGCAGTGGCGCAATCTCAGCTCACTGCAAGCTCCACCTCCCGGGTTCACACCATTCTCTGGCCTCAGCCTCCCGAGTAGCTGGGATTACAGGCACCCGCCACCATGCCCGGCTAATTTTTTTTGTATTTTTAGTAGAGACGGGATTTCACTGTGTTAGCCAGGATGGTCTTGATCTCCTGACCTCGTGATCCACCTGCCTCGGCCTCCCAAAGTGCTGGGATTACAGGCGTGAGCCACCGCGCCCGACCTCTGTTGCTCATATTCTTTCCTATTCTAGGTCTCCTCCCCGTACCTCAAAAACTTGAATCAATACTTCTGAAATATTATAGAAAGATTAGAGCATTAGTGATCAGAAACCACCTTGATGCTCAACAGAGGAATATCTATGCAAATCGGATTTTATTAATATGTGAACGCAATAATGCCATTAAAATTCATGTATATAACAAATGAGCAGTAAGACCAACAAAATTCATGCAAATAATTTTTTTTTTTCTTTTTTTGAGACGGAGTCTCACTCTTGCCCAGGCTGGAGTGCAATGGTGTGATCTCGGCTCACTGCAACCTCTGCCTCCCAGGTTCTAGAGATTCCGTTGTCTCAGCATCCTGAGTAGCTGGGATTATAGGTGTGCACCACCACACCTGGTAAATTTTTGTAGTTTTAGTAGAGATGGGGTTTCACCATGTTGGTCAGGCTGGTTTCGAACTCCTGACCTCAGGTTATCTGCCCACCTCAGCTTACCAAAGTGCTGGGATTATAGGTGTGAGCCACCACACCCGGCCTATAAATTGTTGATTAATATAAATTTATAGTCAAATGATACTGTGGTTATATAAAATCATACAAAAAAGATTGTAAGTGAATTTTGAGAAAGGCAAATGTTACATTACCTTCCAGTAATATTAAGTACATCAACAATAATGGAAATCTTAAATTTGGATAAATATGATTTCAGAATAATTAGGATAGGTAAACTGTCAGATTCCTCGCACTTTGTCTATCTCATCCCAAATTGAGAACATTAAAAAATTAGTCTTTGTCAGTATAGTCTCATGGTTAGTAATTAGTCCCACTTAAGTAGCCTAATTCGTTTTTCACTCCCACACCCTTGCTATCAGTGTGCAATCCTCATTCTTGTATTAAAAACACTTTGAAGCCAGGTGCGGTATCTCACTCTTGTAATCTCAGCACTTTGGGAGGCTGAGACAGGAGGACTGCTTGAGTCCAGGAGTTAGAAACCAACCTGGGCAACACATGGAGACCTCATAGCTCTTTTTTTTTTTTTTTTGAGACGGAGTTTCGCTCTGTCGCCCAGGCTGGAGTGCAGTGGCGCAATCTCAGCTCACTGCAAGCTCCACCTCCCGGGTTCACACCATTCTCTGGCGTACCTTAATATTGGACAAGTTGGTCTCATCTTGTCATGCATGTCAAATGTGTCAAAATAACATTAAGCTTAATTTTATTTGACAATAGAGATTGTCCAATAAACTTAAAATTTTTTATAATGGCCTGTTCAGGTGTTCAGTTGTTCAGTGTAAACTTTCTCTAAACGTAAACCATTAGAACTCCTTCACCTATTGACTATTTATATTGAACTTTTTTCTTTTTTTTTTTTTTTTTTTTTTGAGATAGTCTCTTTCTTTCTCCCAGTTAGTTGTGCAGTGGTTCAATCTTGGTTCACTGCAGCCTGAAACTCCTGGGTTCAAGTGATCCTCCTGCCTCAGCCTCCCAAGTAGCTGGGACTATAACTGCATGCCACCACGCCTGGCCAAGTTTATAACTTTTTTGTTGTTGTTGTTGTTGTTTTTTGTTGAGACAGGGTCTTGCTACATTGCCCAGGCTGGTCTTGAGCTCCTGGCCTCAAACGATCCTCCTGCCTTGCCTGTCAAGTTGCTGGGATTATAGGCACAAGCCACATTGCTGGCCTGTAAAAATAATAAAAGTTTTCAAAAATGGAAAATCTAAAATGAAACGGAGTTGTAATAGGACACATACGGCTCAGCAAGCATCAGTGGCAATGCATTCTCTTGTATCTTGGATGGACGATTGAAACCCATGGCATAGACTCCTTGGAGAAGCTGTGGTTTCCTAGAAAAACAGTTAAAGATGAAAGTCATTGTCGCTTTGGTTGAGGAAAGCAGCAAAATATCTGGAGGATTTTTCTCTTTTACTGTTTACACATAGCTTTTTGTTTATTTGTTTGTGAGACAGAGTCTCAATCTGTTGCCCAGGCTGCAGTGCAGTGGTGCAGTCTCGGCTCACTGGAACATCCACCTTCCGGGTTCAAGCAGTTCTCATGCCTCAGCCTCCCGAATAGCTGGGATTACAGGTGCATGGCACCATGCCCTACTAATGTTTTGTTGTTTTTTGTTTTTTTTTTTTTTTGAGACAGAGTCCCTTGCTAAATGTCGGCCCAGGCCCCTGGAGTGCAGTAGTGCGATCTCGGTCAGCTGCAGCTCCACGTCTGCCCAGGTTCACGCCATTCCCGGCCTCAGCTCCCTGAGTGGCTGCGCGGACTACAGGTGCCCGCCACCACACCCGGCTATATTTTTTTGTATTTTTTGTAGAGACCGGGGTTTCACGCGTGTTGGCCAGGATGGTCTGCGATCCTCCGGATCTTGTGATCCACCCTGCCTTTGGCCTCCCAAGTCCCTGAGATTACAGCGCGTGAGCCACTGGCACCTGACCTAATTTTTTTATTTTGCAGTAGAGGGACAGGTTTCACGCATGTTTGGCCATGCAATCCTGACCTTCAAGTGAATCTGCCTGCCTCAGCCTCTCTCCAACGTGCTGGGATTACAGGGCGTCAAGCGCACTATGCCTGGCCTACAATAGTTTGTAAGACTCAACAGTAATTGAGCTGTGTGAACTGAATACATGTTATAGCAAGACTTAAAAGCTTTCACCAATTATCGTGGAAAATTTACGCTAAATATCCCAAAACATCTAAAGTATTTGCTTATATCTTTTTTATATGGAGAGGTCTGGTCCCTTGCCTCTGATTTTGCCTAGGCTGGTCTGCAGACTCCTGGCCTCAAGGTGGTCCTCTCA